TCCACCACTGGTGTCCTGAGAATCTGGATGCGTGTATCCATTGCAGAAAGCAGGCTCGGACTGAGGTGGGAACATAAATCTTTCCATGGGGACAGGACTCCGGAGGTGGCTCTTGACGCTGGGCTTGACAAATTATATCCTCAATATCCCAAGTGACTACCCCGACCGTGCAACTCGGGGGTAGCAGAGGTGCCGGTCCCTCCTCTGAGTCGTCAGGGGTGTAGAGTCTGGAGAGGGCGTCCGGTTTAACATTCTTGGATCGGGAAAATCGGGAAAAGAATACTGACCAGTGGGACTGTTGTGGGTTGTTTTGTTTGGCTGACTGAAGATAGGCGAGGTTTCTGTGGTCAGTCCAAACCACTACAGGGTGTTCCGCTCCCTCCAGCCAGTGACCCCATTCCTCCAGGGCTAGCTTTATAGCTAGTAGCTCCCGATCTCTTACGTCATAGTTCCTTTCTGAAGGAGACAGTCTGCGAGAGAAGAAAGCACATGGGTGAGATTTGCCATCATTGGGAGAGACCTGGGACAGGACGGCCCCTACTCCCGAATCAGAAGCATCGACCTCGAGAACAAACTGTCTGGTGGGATCGGGCTGGATAAGGACTGGTGGGTTGGCAAACAGTAATTTTAACTGAGTAAAGGCCTCTTCTGCTTTGGGCGTCCAGGAAAACGTGGTCTTGGAGGAGGTAAGTGCTGTTAGTGGGGAGGCCGTCTGACTGTAGTTATGTATAAAACAGCGATAAAAGTTGGCAAATCCTAGGAACCGTTGTAACTGCTTTCGAGTCTCAAGTCTGGGCCACTCCAACACAGCTTTGATTTTGTCCTCCGACGGTCTTATCTGTCCGCCTTCGAGGACATATCCGAGGAAAGTGACAGAGGATTGATGGAACTCACTTTTCGGCTTTAACGTAGAGTCGGTTCTCCAGAAGACGCTGGCGAACTTGTCGGACGTGCAACTTATGTTCCTTCAAGGAGCTGGAATAAATCAGAATATCATCCAAGTAGACAAAAACGAAATCATTTATAAAGTCTCTTAAAACATCGTTCACTAGAGCTTGAAAAAAGGCAGGAGCGTTTGAAAGACCAAAGGGCATGACTAAGTATTCAAAATGCCCCATAGGCGTCTTGAAGGCCGTTTTCCATTCATCTCCTTCTCGGATGCGAAGGAGATGGTAAGCATTTCTAAGATCCAATTTGGTGAACACAGTTTCCCCCTGAACCGGTTCGAAGGCTGATGAGGAGTGGAAGAGGATATTTATTTTTTATGGTGATTTGGTTTAAACCTCTGTAGTCTATGCAAGGTCGTAATGAGCCATCTTTTTTCCCTACAAAGAAAAATTCTGCGCCAAGAGGTGAGGTGGATGAACGGATAATGCCTGCAGCCTAAGGAATCATTAATGTATTTTCCATTGTTTGGCGTTCAAGACGTGAGATATTATATAGACGGCTGTTGGGCAGAGGAGCGCCGGGCAGAATATCAATGGCGCAATCATATGGGCGATGAGGTGGAAGTGACAAGGCCTTATCCTTACTGAATACAGAAGCTAGATCGTGGTACTCAACGGGAACTGCGGAGAGATCAGGAGTTTTACTTTCGGAGTTCCCCTCAGGCGTGGAGCTTGAGGGGACTGTGGAACTAAGACAGGTAGCATGGCAGTTGGAGGACCAAGATTCAACATGTGCTTTAACCTAGTTTATGTGTGGGTTGTGGGCAACTAACCAGTTGTAACCCAGAACAATGGGTGAACTGGTTGCACTAAAGACAAAGAATGAAATGTTCTCAGAGTGGTTACTGGAAATGATGAGACAGATAGGCTTGGTCTTGTGCGTGATTTGTGGCAAGGCCTCTCCATTGAAGGCGGCGACTCAGAGGGGAACTCGAAGAGGATCGACCTGGATGTCCATCTGTTTGACTAGGGAAGCATTGATTAAGTTTTGCTCACAACCGGAGTCGATTAGAGCTGACAGAGGAAGGGACAGGTGGTTATTCATCAGGGTAGCTGGAAGAAGAAGACGAGATTGAGTTGTGGATGTCGGTGCCGGCAGTCTCCTCGTCTTTACTGTCGGACCTGAGGGTTTAAACGGATTTGACAGTTTGCAATGAAGTGTCCGGACTCACCACAGTAGAGACACAGGCGAGAGTTTAACCTCTTTCGTCTCTCCTCTGGAGTCAAACGAGTGTGTCCCAGCTGCATGGGTTCTGGTTCGGAGCAGCTGCTGAAACTGGTTGCACAGATGAAACAGTTGGACTCTGTAAATGAAAACTGCGGCGAGTTCGTTCCTTGATGCATGACCTTATGCGGTTGTCTAATTTGATGGTTAAACTTATAAAGTCTTCTAAGGACTCAGGTTCGTCCAGGGTGGCCAGCTCATCCTTTATCTGTTCATTCAATGCGTGAAAACATGCACTTTTCAGTGCAGCTGTGTCCCAGCCGGAAACTGCAGCCTTTATTCTGAAATCTATAGCAAAATCTGTTGACCCTGCTTAAGCTTCCATAGGTCACGGGAAATGGAGGTCTTGTCAGTATCTACAGAAAACCTGCTTGAAATCCTTCAAAAAAATTTGAGAATGTACACCCAAAGTTTGTGGGAGAGGGAAACTTGGCTTCAGCCCATTCCAGGGCTCGTCCGGTTAACAGGGACAACATATGCGCTGTCTTTGCGTCATCATGGCTGAAACTTTGAGGTGAATGATTAAATATTATTCCACATTGTAAAATGAACCCTTTACATTTCTTCACCTCTCCAGAAAACTTATCAGGTGCTGGGGGGCGTACCTCAGAAAATGTAGCAGCGGGGGGCGACTTCTGAACCTCTGAAGATGGAGGCGGCGTGCTCGGACCCTGTTGAAACGGACCTTGAAGAAAGTTAGACAATTCAGTTAAGCAACGATTAGTCTGTCGGGATCCCAGCTCACGCAGAGCGGCATGATGTGACTATATAAGTTCTTGTTGTTCGGACAACGCTCTCCTAATTGCATCTGCTGGGGTTAACTGTGGGCCTGAGTGTTCTGTCATGTTTAGTTCCAGTCTCTGAACCCACATGCAAGAACACAATCAGGAGTCAGCGTATTTCAAAACAATAATATAGTTTATTGAAACGGGGAAGGGGAAAGGGAGTGAGTGTGGTGCAGGAATCAGGATCGGTACCACCAGAGTAGCCACTGCAGACGAGAGGTTGAGGTTAGGCTTTGATAACCAGGGAGTAACAAATCTTATGACGGAAGCTTACTTTAGAGCTGGGTGAGTTACTTATAGGAGCAGATGGGAACCTGGTGGCGGCGAGGAGAACCAAGGACCGTGGGAGGACCAACAAGTAAGATGGCTGTGTGGAGGGCGAGCTGACGGCTGACAATGATCCAGCGACTGAGGAGTTGGAAGGCTTCGGCCACAAGCAGGTACGTACTGCTGCGTCACAGAGGAATCCACAGAGAACACCGGGACCAGGAAAGGAGTGCTCG